AAAAGCTTGGTAAAACATTAACTAACAAGATTTAATTAGCTTCTTTAGTTTTAGAGGAAAATATTACTGATAAAATATTAATTATCATTGTAATAAAATTCACATTTATCCAGGAATGACTTGTGGTTCTGTGCTAAATCAGATCATACTACTCAGATAAGCAGCAATAAGAGATGAAGGAAAATAAGCCAGCAGTTCAGAAAGTAATAGAAAACAAAATAAACTACTTCTTCATAAAAGTTAATAGCGTTTCCCAAACAATCTAGCCCGTGTTATTTAGAAAAGGTTTGTTTGTGGCCTCTAGAAAACACAAATGGATTTGACTGCAGAACAGCAATAGCTTCCAATGAAAACCTGGTTTATTTTGTAAATCCATTTTTGCCTTGACATTATTAATAGAAAAGCAACAAGTGCAAGTGCAACATATTTATATCTGTAAGAAATCAAGTTACCATATTGCTCTGGTATTGTGCTAGACATACAGCCAAATCTCAATATATGCTTGTATACCCACCTGTGCCACCAATGCAGTGTTTTCAACTTCTTCTACAAGAACAACATATAAAAAAGATCATACTGCAATTAAGAGAAATATGAAACAGATAGCTAGAGCAGAAAATTTTGCATTAAGATAACAGAAGTCGAAGAGATACTCTTGCTCTGTAGTTTCAGAGGGAGCCACTTATTTCTGCTTATCTCCCTGCTCTTTGCCAATGTGCTTATTTCATCATGCCTTTCTCTTCCCTTTTTCAATGAGAAGAGCTTTCAAAAGTTGTATCATTATAAGGAAAAGCAGAATTAGAAGGGCCCAAAAACATCTTTGTAGAAAACTTGAAAAGAATGTGGTTAAATTTTCAGAATTCAAAGTAAAAAGGTTGTAGAAGTTTGTGATATCACATAAATAATTCTTTTATGTGGGGGTTGTAATTTGAGATTTAATTTTTAAGAATTATTCATTCTTCTGTAAGTAGAAATTGTTATTTCTTCAATTGGAATACTGATTTCAGTTTACTTTTGTAGCCTCTTATTCACCCTGGTAATTACTGTTAAGGTAAACTGTTAGAATCAGTCCAAAACCACTGTCACATAGAAAAACTTTGGATAGGTAGCCTTTAAAATGTTTTTATTCACAAGGTTACTAATGACCACCATTTGAAGCAAATTTGTTTTTTCAATGATGGTTTACAGTTTGATATCAAAAAGGAAAAGGTGAACCTTTAGATTTGCTGTAATTACTTACATGTAAGTAATGAACTATCTTTCTCCTTTCCTTGAATGATAAAGTAGAAAAAAACTAACAGATAAAGGAAAAAATAAAATTAATGTTAAAAGGAAGAATAAGCGGAAGTCTAAATTCATCAGCCAATTGCCTAATTTGAAAGAGATAATTTAGGAAGATATAAATTGCTGCAACATCTCTTAAACAAAATAAAAGTACTATTTCTGACTGTATTTTTCTTATCTTGGAAATATAAATATATCTGTATTACTAGCTTATTTCTTCTGTATTCTTCTCCCTGGAATAGACTGACTGTATGAAAATTGACAAAAACAAAAATGCTACAAAATGAATGAGAAGATGTAAATTTAGTCCTTCATTTACTTATTAATCGAGAATTTCTTATACTGCCTTATGAAAGAGTATTTTTTTAGAGCAGTGCAATACAAAAGCATCTTTCTAAATTGAGAAGTCTGACATTGCCATAGTAGTATATAAATGCCCATAGAATGGACATGCTTATGAAAATTAATTATCAGGATGCATCATTTATTAGACCCACTCGGTGAAGTGTTTCCAAAGAGACACTTTTCACAGCTAGGCAAGAAAATAAAGAAAAAAATAAGAAAAAGTTGTCATTGTAGTATTATAACTATATGTGATAGTTTTATCCCCAAATAACAGCTTATTTTTGCTTTCTGATACACATATTTTGTTTTCTCTGCTATTCCACAACTCTTTTCCTTTATTCAGCCCAAGGTACCATGATTATCAAAACACACACTTGAGAAAAATGCACTGAAATAAAACCTCACCTATGTTTGACATTATGATGCCTTGCCACATTTCATTAGTCATATCGTCATATAGAGTAATGCAGTCTGATTGATGCAACTCACAGGGACTCATAATCTTTCATGTATTTGCTGAAGAATGTAAAGGTATCATAGAATCTTTGGACAGAATTCAAAGAATTAGAAATAAAGGTTTTGCTATTTTATCTTCCCATGAAGATAAGATTTTTATTTTACCCCTCCGGGAGATGTTTTTAAAATAACTTTCTTGAGATTGCATGCATCATATAACTTCTAGTCTCCTCCTGGAAATCCATTTTAAATAATTTCAGCTTTAGACTGAAGTAAACAGTAAAGCGTTTTACAGCTCATTACAGCTTTAATATTTGGCTGGAGATTAGTACTTCTGCTGAAAAAGGCATTTTAGGGATACAGAAATTGGGATATGAGAGATTTCTGTGTAAGCCTTTCAGAAATGCTCATGTATCTAATACTCTTCCTTTCTGTAGAATAAATGTTTTTTTCTCTTAAAAGATGATGGAAGGGCTAACATAAGCTGGACTCTATGGATCTAAAGCATAAAATTTTGAAACTAACTTTTTGTAGCCTACTTATGAGATAGTTTACCAACGAAATCTGATTTTAAGACATCAAGATGATTATCCAGAGATAAGAAAGAATGATCCTAACTTCATTAAACTATTTTTAAATACATCAGAAGACAATAATTTTCAAGAGATTTAAAAAAAAATAAATTACTCTTTCAAATTACAATTACAAAATACCTTAACATATTTTTTTGAAGAAAATGCCATAAATGTCAGACATTAGGCTATTTAAATGACATATAATTTGTATTTAACTCTTTGACTTAAGTGAACATACTTAGAAACTAGTAAATCTTCCAATATGCGATAGCCATTTTTTTTTTTTTAATATTTAATTGCTGCCTAAATATTTTGCTTTCTCTTTCCCTTTTTTACCTTTTTCTTGTGGGCAAGAAATTAATGTCTATGCCTACATTTTTATAACCTTAAAATAACTAATCCTAACATTTGTTTATTTTTCATCCTAACTACAATGTGAAAAACAATTATTTGTACAAACAACTCTAGTACTAAGTTTCTTTGGTGGGAGTCAACTGGTACACAGCAATCCCTGAAACTCAAATGGTTATATGAAAGCAACGTTAACTTAGACCTTCCTAGACTTTTTTTTTTTAAATTGTTTTTTCTTTTGCGCTTAATATAAACATACATACGGTCAGGTGTAATTCTAGAATTAAGGAGAAAAACCCTGTTCTTTTCACAAGGAACAATCTTATATGCCATATCAAGCATCACTAAACAAATTTTGATTAGTTCTACTTTCTAATACCACTGAAGTCAGCAGGTGCTGTGGGTACTCAAGTATGGCTGCTGAAGATGGTTTTGAAGTCTGATTAAAAAATTTGCCATGACATCTACAACATATGATCATATTTCTTAATGTCAGGAAATCTAATCCTCTGTGCTGTTTGTAAGATGTTTTAATTTGTAACTTATTGCAGACACTTTGGAATCCCCTGTGTCAACTGTATGTTTAAGATTAACTTTCTCAGAACTTAATACTCTGATCAAGTTTGAACCCTAGGAGGGTTCCAGTATGACTCTCTCACATTACTTCTCATGTTATTCTCTCACGTTTTATTATTAAACACATTATTGTAAAATTACTATGAAAAAATGCTGAGTCAACAAAACATTAATTTCTGCTTCCCCTAAAACCACATTTAGTAAATAGATGAAAATCACTGTATTGGATACTGCGGCATCAGTAAGCTGCCTGTTTGTGAACGTCATTTCTTTTAGTTTAGCAGTATTAAAAAGATTGTTTGGCTACAGAGATAAACAGAGATCAGACAGGAATGAAAGGGTAAGAAAAATAATCCACAAATTCTGGCAAGCAACAATCTTATTTATTCTGAGGCCTATAAAAAAAGTTCAGTCTCAGCTTGACCCTGAATTTCCTGCTGTATTTTAATGCTTTATCTGGTGTTACATTAAAGTAGAACTACCTAATAATTTTATTAAAAGTCTTATTCTTGCTAGTAATGTTTTGCAGACCAAAAAGGGATCTTATCATAATCATCAAAACAAAACAAAAAACCAGAATCATCTTGTACTTTCTACACAATTGAACTTTCAAATTAGTAGGCTCATATTTCAAATTCCAAACTTCCAGCATACTCAAACACAGACTTGACACATCCATCAATGACGAAGCAAATTTAAATTTTGAATCTCATTCTAGACTGTGAGTAGATAGCTCAAGTCTTTTTTTTAGTCTTTTTTATTTTTATGTTGTTAATCAAAGTTTAAATATTTATCTAAAGCAAACCTAGTTGATTTTTGTTTTCATAAGTTAATATATTTCTAATATCAAATGGGTTACTGACAGATACATATACGTATGCATATTACAATAAGAATTGTATTTCTTTTTCTATTGAACAAATGTTGAAGTCAAGAGAAGATTTCTACTTACTACAATTCAGCTAAGACTCCTAAAGTAAAACTACATCTTTGATTCACACAAAAGTTAGACCTGATACTTTGAATACAGAAAAACCAAGAGTATTGGTATATAGCAATAATTTTTATCATTGTGAAGCCATGTTACCTAAGCAAATGGTATAACTATCACAAAACAATTCTTTACTAACGGTAACATATAAAAAGCAAATCACTGTGTTATGGGTAACGGGTGGTCCTCCACAGGTGGTCCTGTGGAGTTTAAGTTTAAATCTGTCCTTATAGCAATTCAGTTTTTAGATTATGCAATAGCTTTTGCTAGTCAAGTAATGGTCAAGTAATCTCACTGATGATGAGAAGACATTCTTCTCTCCAGTGGATGAAAATATTTGCAGATGACTGATAGATTAATTATTACTAAAGTGAGGAAAGGAAAATGCTAATATTCATTTAAATACCATAAAATTACCATACCTGTTACTTTCAGTCTGTCAGCTCCAATGACAATCTCATCTTCATCTGCAGAAAACAACACTCTTCCACCTTCACTTGACCTCACTTCAAATCTTTTACACTGGGCCTCCACAGCATCAGCTCCTGAAAGAAAGGAAGCGAATGTTTCATCTGAGATAATTTGTAAAAAAAGAAAAAAAAAAAAAAAAAAAAGAATTAATCAAGAATTTATCAGTATGTGTGATCCCTAAATGCATGGAGTACAAGAGCCTTAAGGGGATTTTATCAAATAGTGGTCTTATGTATATGTCTGGTAGATCGTTTGTATTATAAAATACAAACAGACATCTGCATTTCTGTCAGACAGAGATTTCTGGGCTTTGTTCAGTTTAAAGTGGAGCTTCTGGCCAACGAGAAAAAAAAAAAAAGGAGCCTACTCCAGGAAAATCAAATACTCAATGCAGCAGATAATGGTATTTTTCAGCCAGTTCTGTTGCTAACTTGAATGGCAAAAATAACAAAACAAAAACAAAAACAAAACCAACAAACAAAAAAACAACAAAAACCAGACTTTATAATTCATCTAATTTTATGAAATATAAGTTCCATATGTCTCAAAGCTTCAAAAATCTAAAATAATTATGAAATCAAACAGATCTATGAGACTGCATCTACAAGTGCAATAAAGAAAATTTGAAGATACCAAACTGTTTGAAATTTTGCAAATTTGCAATTTACATGTTTTATCCTTATTCTTCAGCGTTTTGCCTGTTTAAAAAAATATTTAAATTATTGAATTATTATATTAACTTTAATAAAATACATTAAATTATTATTGTTTAATTTTATTAATCACTGAAAGCAAAATTTGTGTTGAAAATTGAGGAACAATATACATCTGTAAGGCAAATTTCAGAATTTAAAGGAATACTTATCTGACATTTTTTTTCCCAATCCCTAATTAGATTTCTAACGTACACCTGGAACAACCCATCAGCACCAATATGTGAATATTATACAGAAAATATTGTAGACAAAGTATGTATGTCATTCTAGTCTATCAAACTGGCTCATAGGTTTACTTTCATAATGAACAAGTTTTCAGTTTTATATGTAAAAGTTCAATATCAAAATATATAAGGAATAAAATAATTGTGATAACTAACTTTGGATGAGGAACTGCAATAGCAGACCTTAATTTGCAGGATTGGCTATATATATAAAAACAACAACAAAAACAAAACACAAAAAAATCCTTCTACTAAGAAATGAATATATTTTAGCTGCTTGGCATTTGTACCTCTTCAGCATCACATTGCATATAAGCAGCCCTATAATGCAGCTAGCTCAAACTACCATTCCAAGATTAATTCTACTTTTTTTTTTCCTATGCTATAACAAAGTGGCTTTTACTTTATGTTGCAATCACATCTTAACAGTGCATCACTCATTATTACTTATCTCTGAAACAGTGGTTAGTGTCAAGCCACTTGAGAGATTTCTAACAAAAAATTAATACAGCTTAAGACAGTCTCTTTGATGCGGAACCAGGTGTAAATATTATGAAAATGGGTTTGAAAAGTTAAACTGCCTACAGAGTAATCAATGCTATCAAAATGGAATTCTATTTCATTACATTTTCATTTCCCAGTTGAAATATGAGTAAGCAGTTGCATGTACGATGTATTAGTGTATTACCTTCTCAGCTGTAAAGCAAATTGCTGTGTTGCAAAAACAGTTACAAACATTTGTGTCTCACAAAATATCTGAATCTTTAATAGTAGTATTAACAAAATGAAGAATCATCTCTCTGTGCATGAAGAAAGCAAACCTGAAATTTTTAGCTCAAACTTGTAGAGCAATCACATTATCTACTCTGCATGCTTGTTTTCAACTAATCCAGAATATTTTATCTGCTTTGATAATGAATATGTCAGTCCAGGGAAACATGCAAAAAAATCAAACTTCTAAATTCTGTTTGGAACGGTAATTTCTATCAAACACTTGGCCATCTGAAAAACTTACTGGTTATTCTAAGGATAAATGTACTTTATACTAGAGATGCAGTCCGCTTCTCTATAGCTTTAAACAGGATGAAGGCAAGACCATACAATATTTTCTTGTCCTCTCATATCCAGAAAAATTATGTACTTGTAATTTCATTTGTATAATGTTGAATTAAATTAAGAATCTGTAAAATTCCATTCATTTAAAGTATATGGATGAAGCATATACATTTCATGTTCATCCATACACCGTAGATACTAATGATTGTTTATAATACAGGCTTGTTGCACAGCAGCTGCATAACTGAAACTATTATTAAACTGGTAAAAGTGGTACAAAGTATAAAATTATTCATTTGAACTAGACTACGGTGAATATATGTTAAAAGAAAATGTTGGGCAGCACGTACAACATAGATACAGAGAATTATATTATCGTAACACAGATTAATATGTACAAAGATTAAATTTCAAGGCAGAAACTGTGTCTATTTTGAATTTGTATCATATCTAGCTTGATTATTTATTAAATAAGACCATAATAACAACCATAAAGAATGCATGCTTTAAAAATTTTGCTTTGTAAAGTCAATTATGACTTGTATGACTTTATTATTATTCAGGAAAAAACAAATTACAACCTGTATTTGGAGTTATAATAAGTACTACCAAGAATTTAGCCAGCTTAGAGTTTAGATATGATTACTAAAATCTGACTTTAAAGGCTGAAGCATAAATACTCCATTTACCAAATATGATTTAATTCTTATCAGGTTGAAAACTTGATTTGTATAAAACTATAATCATGCAATGGAAGTATAAATGGTTGTTGGTTTTATGCATAGGCAGGTGGTTTGTTGTTGCTGTTGTGGAAATTGCTGTTCATCCTGGGTAACACACAGTGGTTATTTTCACTGCTGGGAGAGAATGTACAGTCATTACAGCTTGCTGGCCAGTTCAGTTTTCCTCTACTGGCAGAGCTGAACTTCACAAATTTTGTGTTTATGCATATTTTGATTAACAGTGATTATCATGTGTATCATGTTTTGTGCTGTGGACAAGAATATCCACGTTTGGGGTTCTTTTTTTTTTTTTTTTTTTTTTTCCAGAATACTTTCCACACTAGTTTTTCCTTTCCAGTAGTTTTTCCTTTCCAGTTTTCCATAAAATGATGTGGCAGAAATAACAATACTTGTATGATACTTGTAAACATAAAAAGTGATGTAGAAAATCAGAATTGTGGGGACAAAGTCAGAAATGTGGGGACAAAACAGACAAACTAAAATCCATAATTTTCCTAATTGCACCCGTAGTTTCCACCCCAACATTACTTTAGACTTAGTTTTAATTTTTTAAGAATGTCTGAATATGAATATAAGAATATCATTTTAAACTAAAAGAGTTTAGGAACAGATTCTTTACTCAAAGGGTGGTGAGACACTGGTTCAGGTTGTCCAGAGAAGTTGTGGATGCCCCATTCCTGGCAGTGTTCAAAGGCCAGTCTGGATGGGGCTTTGGGTAACCTGGTCTGGTGTGGGGTGTCCCTGCCCATGGCGGGGGCGGGGGGAACTTTAAGGTCCCTTCCAACCCAAACCATTCTATGATTCTATGGGAATATTTCTCATTTAGCACAAAACAAAACAAAGCATTTGGGACATTAGATCTATATTCCAAGAAGATCTAAGACGAATATGTTCCGTCTTTCTCAGCAGCAAAACACTCCATTCCCACTCTCAACACCAAGAATTAAAATAGAAATGTTAACAACAGTGAAGTGTAAAGCTAACATTTTCTTTGCTTTATCTTGTGGTCTGTTTCCAGCCATCTACCTTGCATTTCCATTCATTCCCAACTTACTGAAACATAAGATGAAACTGAAATGTATGAGGAAAAGTAACTATCAACATTGTACAATGCAATGGTTCTTTGAAATAGGAATTAACATACAAACTATTTATACATTTAGTAAGACATCACAGTATGCTCTGCCATTAATTTTGCTTAATTTTGAGGTCTTAAAACGGTTGCAAAACAGCCTTAATATTAGCAATCATGGGGGAAAGAAGAAAACGTCTGAAAAGAATGTTTGGCAGAAAAAAAGTAGATTGTAGTTGCCACCATCTTTAAATGAACATATTAATTAAAATTAACCTCAGAGAGTATGCAGATGGAGAGTTATCCTATCATGTGTAATAAACAAATGTGATCAAAGAACGCATGCTTTGCTGAATGCAAGGCTATCCAAACTGGAAATGCTGATCAGATCCAGTTATTCAGCCAGCTGACAAAGAGACAAATGGGTGCTGTGACGCTCCTGGACCAGGATCATCATATTCATGGAAAAACGACCTTTAGATCATCAGTGTTAAAAACCTAAAACCTGGTGAGTGGAAACACTCTGTGATTTCACTGAGTGAGATACAACTCATGTAATTGTAGAGATTATAGTTACTTAATTAGATTCACGTAACAGCCATGGGAGAAACAGACATTTGAGCATGTGATACATTTGGCCTCCTTCCGGCATTTACCTTTAGATAATATTAAATACATTAAAAGTTTTATTTTTTCTCTTTTGCTGATAAAGACATTCTGTGTGTTTACATTAGATGTAGATGAACGCTAGCAGTAGTGTCTGGTTTCTAAATCACCTTCCTTGTCCACCAGACAGACAACAAATTCAGATACAGAAATAGATAAAATTCAACCACATTAAATTAAATACAGAACCTAGAATTCAAAGCTAATTACCATGAGTTTATGAGCTTTGTAAATGCAAAACAATGAAATTCAATGTACTGTCTTCTGATTCTTCAGTGAAAAATGGGTTATTTAAACGTTTATTAAATACAGGATATTTTTGGATGACACAGTAAGGCAGTTTTATGAAAATGTGTTGATGCTTTTGAGATTGGAGATAGAAGAGATAAACCATTTTTAATAAAGATTCAACCCCCAGCCGGGTCTAAAACCAATATTTTTGAAATATATACATAGATAAAATTCTGTTAATATTCATAGGAATACTAGATATCATACTATTTTGGCCACCAGAGGTCTCAGATATTTTTCAGTGAATGCAAATGAAGGAATCACACCAGCTGAATAAAAGCATTGAGGAATTTGAATAAAGGGAGC